GCGAATGGGCGGAACGGGCCCGATTGGAGGTCCTGGTCAGCACTATACCATCCACCCGCCAATCTTTGAAGAGCGGTGTGCGGTGCTGGCTCAATTTCGCGATGGACGTACTCGGACGTGGCCGGCATCTCGCGCTGCCGCGCAGCGAGGCGCGACCAATCCGCGCAACCCCTCCTGCGCGGCCCGCAGACTCCTATAATCTGCGGCGTGCGCCCAGGACAATCTGTTGTGCTGGTCGGGCACTTTCTCTTGCGCGGGCACGTTCCGGAATTATTGCGGGCGCGTGCAGACAGCGTGCGAAGTGCTACGCCTGGAGACGAGCGCCTTCGGCAACAGACGGCTGCTGCGGTGTCGGCCCCACGCGCCACCGCGCGCGCGAGGCCGCGCGTCGCGCGCCCAGGGAGGCTCAGGCAGCCATTGTGCGGCGCGGCGGACACACGCCACGCGAACCGCGCTTCGTTCGTGACGCTATGATTGCACAATTAGTTGGCCTACATGGCCGCAGCGAAGAAGAAAAGGCGGGGCCGCCGCGCGGCATTCGCCAGTCAACCCAGCGGTCGCGCAGGTGGCATCCACCATGTTTCTAATTACGTACATATTCCTGCTTCGCCTACCATCCGAGTGTTTACCCATCCGGTGGTGCGGCAACACTCTGTCGCGCGGCCGCGCGGCGGGCCGCGCCGTCTGGAAGCGCGCTGGCTGGGGCACCCGCGCGCGCGCCGAACGCGCTCGGCGGAGTTGGCCATATCGGCAGACGAGGCACTCCTCTGGTTGCCAAGGCGGAAGAACAAGCCGTGCGCGTCGATACTCCGCCGGAGGTGTTGGTGCCGCGCGCGCGCCGCGACGTGCGCCGTGCACGCGCTGCCTCCGTTGCTGCGCGGCACAGCAGTAGGCGCTCAACCGTTCGCGCAGTTCTCAGGGTCGGATGCCCGGCGTATCCTTCGGTCCCTATTGTCCAGGATAGGCGTGGACAGTGCCAACCTATTCGGCACCCACGACATGCGAAGGTCGCGACCCGCGACCGCCCGCGCGGCTCGGCGCGCACATCCCTCCGCCCCTCTCGCGCGCACAAGGGGGCACGCCGATGACATCGATCGCGCGGGTGCACCGACCGCAGTAACGAAGGAACGTGGAGGCTGGGCGTCGAACGCCTACCTGGCTTACATCGACCGCGTCCGGGTCGAAAGTGAGAGGGTAGCGGCCGCGCGCAACGCCGCGTCCGACTGCTCGGACAGCTCTGACAGCAGCTCAGACACCTAGTGTGGCTGCGACATCCCGGCGCGCGCCCGAGCGCCGCGCTCCGCGTGCGCAACGGGTGAGCGGCGCACGGCGCTGGTCGCATCGTCTCATTGGGTCGTGCTGCGACCAGCACCGAGGCCTCGTGGCGCCCGCGCCCTCTCGGCGCGGCGCAGGCTTCGGCGCGCACCCAACGCTGTGGTTGCAGACGCAACCCAGCTACGGGTGAGCGGGGTGCTCAGCGAATTTGTATGTGTGGAACGAGTTCGGCCCCTGGTTCCATCGCACGCATTCGCTGGTCCCGGGCGCGCGCGGCGGACGCAGGCGCGAGCAGTCGCCGCGCCGCCGCTTGGCTCGCGCGCGCCGCGGCGCGCCGCAGGCGATGTGGGCAGGCCCGCGCGCCCCCGCGCGCGGCCGCTGCCCGCCGCGGCCGCGCGCAGGTGCCGCAGGTTTGTGTGTGCCTGGGGCGCGCGCCCCGCGCTCGGGATTTGACCCGCCCGTGCCCGCCCCGTTTCTCGCCCGCTGCTGGGTCGTGCTGCGACCAGCACCGAGGCCTCGTGGCGCCCGCGCCCTCTCGGCGCGGCGCAGGCTTCGGCGCGCACCCAACGCTGTGGTTGCAGACGCAACCCAGCTACGGGTGAGCGGGGTGCTCAGCGAATTTGTGTTTGTTTGTTTGTTTGTTGTTGTTTGTTGCTGTTTGTCGTCGTTTGTTCTTGTTCTTATTGTTGTTGTTGTTGCTGCTGCTGCTGCTGTTGTTGTTGTTGTTGTTGTTGTTGTTGTTGTTGTTGTTGTTGTTGTTGTTGTTGTTGTTATTGTTGTTGTTGTTGTTGTCGTTGTTGTTGTTGTTGTTGTTGTTGTTGTTGTTGTTGTTGTTTGTTGTTGATTGTCGTTGTTTGTCGTTGTTTGTTGTGATTGTTGTTATTGTTTTTGTTTGGCGTCGTCCCCCCCTGGACCCGGCCCGCGACCCACCCGCGATCCACCCCGCGACCCGCCCGTGACCCACCCGCGACCCGCCTGCGACTCAACCCTGCTACCCACCCGCGACCCGCCCGCGATCTACCCCGCGACCCGCCCGCGACCCGCCCGCGACCCACCCGCGACCCACCCGCGACCCACCCGCGACCCGCCCGCGACCCACCCGCGTCCCACCCGCGACCCGGCCCGCGACCCACCCGCGACCCTTTCGCGACCCTTTCGCGACCCTTTCGCGACCCACCCGTGACCCACCCGCGACCCACCACGCGATTCTCACATTTGTTGAACGAAAAATCTGCACCTGCGGCGGGCTCGTTGTATACTGTGGCAAATTTAGGCGCCTGCGGCGGGCTTTTTCAGAGCCTCGCAGACTGCAGGCGTCCCCGCCGCCCCCTCACTCTTATCCGCGACTGCGGGGTGCTACGTAGTTCATGTCATCGTCTCTTCCAGCTTCGTACGCCCCAAGACAGCCCCAGAGGCGCCCAAGACCGCTCCAGGACGGCCCAAGAGGCCCTCCGAAGGGTCAGCAAACCGGCCAAGACGGCCCCAAAACGGACCAAGAGGCGTTTAGGACGGCCCAGGGGAGCCCCAAGACGGCCCCAAGAGGGGCCCCAGAGGAGGGGAACACGAAGCCGCAATGCGAGCATTTCGCCCCGAGACGCCGCCCAGGAGGTCCCATGACGCCCCCGAGAGGCTCCACGTGGCCCCCTTCGAGGCCCCCGCGAGGCCCCCAACAGGCCCCGAGGACCCCCCGAGAGGCTCCCCAACGGACATCAAGAGGCTGCAAAATTGCTTACCAGAAGCTCTCGACAAGCCTGTTACGAGATCCCCGGGAACATCCACAAGGTTTCTAACCCACAGCCCAAGCACGGTGGCGGGATGGGCCGTAGGCCACCAGACAATGATGGTACCAACGAGTTCCCTCTTGAGCCTTTGTTGGGCCTTTGTTGAGAGGCCTCGTGGAGACTTCTTGGGCCGTCTTCGAGGTAAGTCTGTTGGGCCGCCTGGGGGCCACCCTGGGCGTATTGGAGCGACATTTGGGCGTCTCGGGACCCTCTTGGAGAGTCTTTGGCCTTTCGTGGCGCTTCCTGGCTCCATTTGCTACGCCACAGGAGCCCCCAAGTGCCTCGGCACCCACCCTGAAAAACATTGCTGCCACATTTGATAATTTTCGGCCTCGGGGGAACTCCACAGAAACCAGTATCGCAAACATCGTGCCATGACACACATCCAGCCCTTTGGAAGTTGTCGGGACCTCAGGAGACTCTATGGGACCGCGCCTTCTTCGGCCGTCTAGAGTCTGGAGGCTCTCTGGCAAGTCATGCTGGTCTTGTACGAGCCTTCTTGGATTCCTCTTGAGTTGCCTTCCCAAGTTCGTGGCGACTCGTTAGGCCTATGTTGGGACGCCTTCGATCAATCAGAGGCCAGCGCGAACGCTGAAGAAGAGAGCTCTGAAAAGCCTGCTCGAGTCCTCGTGCGCCTTCTCGGACGCGTTCCAGCGAAGTTTGAAGCGAATTGTCCTTGACCTCGGCTAGAACGGATGCGCGCGCGAAGCGCTCGCGATGATTTTAGTGTATTGATGGATATACAGATATACACACGCAGATGTCCATCTTTGTTGTATTATCTGATTATACCGCTCTCTCTCGTATTTAGATGCCTCTCTCTCTCTCTCTCTCTCCTGCTGTCTACCATCCCTTTGTCCATCTCTTTCGCGCGTATGCTTTCCCTCCCAATCGGGTGGATCGGCGACGGTGTCTCATGATCAGTTTTTTTGGTGAGGCGGGTCGTGCGAGTGGGGTTGTATGCAAGGTCGCTCTAGTCGTGGGTGGAATCTTACGGGTCGGGCGGTCATGTCGTTTTTGGAGACCGTCCAGGACATCGACATTGCCGTCATGCCGTCCCCAACGGGTCTTTGCATTGAAGGCGTTCCGAGACCAGTTTTTAGAAATTCGGCCCCCGCCGGCGCCGTTTGCCGCCATGGCCTATGCGCCCCTGCCTGGCCCCACTAGTCCCTGCTGCCGCCAGTGCTGGTGACCTCCACCAGCCCCTCCCAGCTGCTTTCACGCCCTGCCAGGTACTGTTGGGGTTCCACGCTTTGATATCAGTAGTCTATCTGCGGCGAGTTGACGTGCAGTCCATGTCGAATCGACGCCGAGTTAACGCCGAAAACCACACCGAAGCTTCAAGTGCAGATTCGAAAGTAACACTTGCTGATGCAGAAGTTTGGTGATGAGTACGATGTCCGGTCACCTTTCCCAACGGGTTGTTCAGTCGTGCTTCCGTGGCATTCCCCCAGGGATTTCTCGAAGAGGCGGTTGTCGCACTTTCAAGTGCAGCGTGTAGGCATTCCAGTCCTTCCCCTGGGACAAGATTTGAGGACTATCTCGCCTGGGAATTTCTTCACTGAAGGCGTGCGACGAATGTTGCAATTGTCCCAGCGGCGTGTCGCGCTGGCCCCTGGTGATTCAGCTTTTTGCGTTCAGATGGCCCGTGGGTGCTGTTCATGGGACGTTTTTCCCAAGAGGTAACCTCGGCGGCGAGCGAGGGGGGAAAGTGAGAAGGAGAAGGCCTTCTCAGAAGGTGCGGAAGTCCCCCGGCCTTCCGAGAAGTTTTCGGAGCCCTCCCCGAAGACAGAAGATGCTTATCAGAAGGCGCGAGGGCTTCTGAGAAGTCCCGCCGCCTTCTGAGAAGGCCTTCAATTCTCCTTCTCATTTCCCCCCCCTCGCTCGCCGCAAAAAAAACGCCCGCCCTCTCCGTGCGCGCGTGTGGAGCCGAGCGCTGCGGAGGCGACGGTGCCGACGCCCTCTCCGGGCAGTTCTCCGCCACGGCGTCCCAGGCGCGGGCCCCGCGCCGGGCTGCGGTTGAGATTCAGATTCTTAGGCTTACGCCACACCGCCGACCCCTTGTTTATGCCAATCTGGGGGTAGTAGAAGCTGCGAAGGGGTGAAAAGGCGAGTGATATTTGTTTGGTGTCTGTTCGCCGCCACCGCCAGAGGGTCTCGGGCAGTTCCGCGGGGGGGTCCGAGCGGACGGCGACACCGCGAGTTTTGGAGCCACTTGGGGGCCGTTTCGGAGCCTCTGGGGTGCTTCTTGGGGGTTCCTTGGGGCGTCTGGGCGGCCTCGTGAGGGCCTCTGGGGGCCTCTTGGGGCACTCTTGGGGCCCCCTGGGGCTCCTGGGGGCAGAAAGCTAGAGTTTCAACATGTTTGGTCGCCCTCTTGGGCCCCTCTTGGTGCCGTCTTGGAGCCCTCTTGGGCCGTCTTGGGGACCTCTTGGGCCGTGTTGGGGCCGTCTTGGGCCGTCTGGAGGCCGTCTTGGGGGCCTCTTGGGCCATCTTGGGGCTGTCTTTGGGGCCTCTTTGGCCGTCTTGGAGCGTCGGGAAGCCGAAAAGGCGGAAAAGCAAAAAACATCGAAAAACACTATGGAAAATCAACAATTTTAGACTCTTGGGGCCCTCTTGGGAGGCTTGTTTGGGACCTCGGGGGCCGTCTTGGAGACCTCTTGGCCCGTCTTGGGGCCATCTTGGGCGTCTTGGAGCGGTCGTTTGGCGTCTCGGGGCCTTCGTGGGCCGTCTTGGAGGCCTCTTGGGGGCTTCTTGGCCCGTCTTGAGGCCCTCTTGGGCCCGGAAAAGCCCCGTGAACCGCTCGTCCCGGCCGTGCTGCGCTCGTCCCGGCCGTGCTGCGCTCGTCCCCGTGCTGCGCTCGTCCCGGACCCCCCCCCCCTCCAAATCGACCGGACCGGGCTCCCGGGGGAGGGGTTTGGGGAGGGGGAAGCATCTCACACGCCGATGATCCCCAAGGGGTCGGCGGACTTCGCAGGGGCGGTTGCGAGTCGGGTGTCGTGTGGCCACATTCAGGAGGGAAAAACACACAGACACAGTGAATCGTCGACTCCCAGGAAAATATGGGGAAATATGGGAAGTGGGGGGAAAGCCCAAAACCCAGAACATATGGGATAGTGTCGGGATATTTGTTATTTGTGTCTATTAATTTGTGTGTCCCAGGGCCCTTTCACACATGCTTGGCGGCGAGCGAGGGTGGGAAGTGAGAAGGAGAAGGCCTTCTCAGAAGGCGGCGGGACTTCTCAGAAGCCCTTGCGCCTTCTGAGAGGTTTCCCTGTCTTCGGGGAAGGCTTGGGAAACTTCTCAGAAGGCCGGAGAACTTCCGAGCCTTCTGAGGATGCCTTCTCCTTCTCACTTCCCCCCTCGCTCGTGGCCGAGTATCGTGTGTCCACATGCTTGAATTACAGAGTCAAGGCGTACCGACGTGAATTTGCCACAGGCCAGTGTGGGGCTGCGGCCATTTGGTGGGCCGCTTTGGGGCTCAGGAGCCCTGCGTCCAGAAGGGCGTAGTACTTTGAGGGTGTCGTTTCGGCTTGGGGGTACAAAGCAGGCCTGGTGAAAATTCCAAGATTGAACTTGTTTGACGATGCTTTTTATTTCGGGGCCGCAAACACTTGCATGTGTGCCCTTGTTCTTGCACGATCGGAGTGCCGAGGAGTGGGAGTCTTTTGGGGCCATCCTGAGGATTTATTGGGGCCATCTTGACCCCCCTTGCAGTTCTCTTGGGGCCTCTGAGAACCATATCGGGGTCTCTTCGGGCCGTCGGGGCATGGCGGGCCTGAGGTCAGGGAGGTTCGAGATGGCCAGGGATGTGGTTGCCTTTGTAATTCGGCTATTGGACATTACCGTTGAGGAAATGCGAACCGCGATGCAACAGGCAAAGTGATCCTTTCGCACATGCTGCTCGAACTGGCACGCGTCAGCGTTGCAGACCAGATCGGGACTGCCTTCACGACGCGCAGGTCGTCCGCCGCATTTTCGCGGTGGGAGTGCTTGGTAGCTTCCAGCATGGGCCGAGGTTATCGATCGAGGATGAATTGCCGTCCAACGGTGCGTCCGCGCATCGCCGCGTGAGCCTTCGCTGTGTTGGCGCACGAATCAGTTCTCTCATCCTCAAGTACTTTCGTTTCCTTTCCTGCTCTGGGGGACTTTCTTGGAGGAGGTGGGCATCGGCAAGGTCTGAGGACAGTGGGTATGAGCTCGATGTGGCTTAGAATGAGGATGGGGAGAGGAATGGCGGCACCAGAAATGTGCGAAGCATGCGGACGCGAAGCGGGCATACTCAGAGTCGTGAATGGTGGACGTGAAGAGAAATCTAGGAAGGGAGAGCGAGGGGCAGGGTGATGATCAGGAGGGATGCTGATGATGGTGATGATGATGATGCTGCTGATGCTGATGCTGATGCTGATGCTGATGATTATGATGATGCTGCTGTTGATGATGCTGATGATGACAATGATGCGGATGCTGATGATGGCGATGCTGATGATGACGATGGTGATGTTGATTCTGATTATGATGATGTTGATGATGATGCTGATGCTGATGATGGTGATGATGATGAAGATGATGATGAGGATACTGATTATGATGATGAACATGATGATGATGATGCTGATGATGATGAGGAGGAGCCAGAGGAACAGGAGTAGGAGGAGGAGGAGGAGGAGGAGGAGGAGGAGGAGCTAGCATAATGAGGATCAGCAGGTGGAGGTAGGAAGAGACGGGATGTGAAGCAGGATAAAGATACATAGGTGAGCAATGAATCATGTGTCTATTGTCGAATCATCATGGTCGCAATTACGTCGAACACTAGCTTGAGCCCTTTGCCGAATGCCCACGGCCTGCTGGAGATACCTCATGTACACGCTGATGGTTATGATGCATATGATGATGGTGATACTCAAGACCACGATGATGCGATGATTGAACAGATGACGGACAGGACGGTGAGACCTATGAGTAAACGATCACAGAGGAGAGCCTCGCAGCGTTCCCCTCTCGGGCAGGGGGGATTCCAACTTCTTAGTTGGGTCATATCGCTAATTTGTCTTCGACAGCGAACGGCTTCCAGTGCGGTTTCGGGCAGTTTCCCAAAAGTGTGCGCGCATTTCCACCACGTTTTATCGAACACCCAGCGCCGCAATCGTGGCTCTGCTTTCGCAAGGCCCAAGTCTCTGCCCATGTTGCCACCGGTTTCATTCACGATTCTGCGGGTTTCCGCGGTTTCCGTCGGCGCTTGAAGCATCGCGTAACGCTCGCGTTAATGTACTGCGGATGCGCAAGGGTGGCTGCTTTGTTTGATCACAACCGCGGCGACCACTGCGTTCGTTAGTGCCCATACATAGCTAGAGAACCATTTCACAGGACCTCTTCTTTTTGTTTGTTCGGGAACGTGTCAATACGCGTGGGAACTGGGGGCTCCTAACCAAGTTCCCGAGACCGTGAGACAAGTCGCGCGACAAGTCCCCGACGAGTCCGGAATTGAGGGGGTCTATTTTCTGATAGTTCATAACTGTCAATGTTGGGAATTTGAACGGACTCAATGACTCTCTCCTCAGTGCTTGCGGCACAGTCGCGGGTTTGCCGAATGACTGGGAAGTGGCAAGCAATTTCACCACAGCTCGTTCGAGGGATTTTCTGGGTCTTCTGGAAGTCGTACTACTTCTCGCAACCTCCTTGAGCTGCCTGGTTCGCCTTCGCTCGCAACCTCCTTGAGCAATGCCGAGCCCGCTTGAGCTGCCTGGCTCGCTCGCTGGGGACCTCGTCTGCTCTCAGTGGACCGTCGGGAGGGATATAATTAGTCTCTCTTGAGTTGGCTTGATGAGTGTGGCAGGAATGGGCAAGATTTTATCTGGCCCTCTTGGGGCCAGATTGGGCCTTCCAAGCTGCTTTTCCCCCTCCCCCCCCCCATCCCGTCCGTCAGCGGGCCGTGGGCCGCAGCACAAGAGCACGACAAGGCTGGACAACCAAGCCTTCGGCGGTGATTGCGATTGGGTCTTGATGAGGGCAGTTTCGAGGTCTGTACTTCAGTGTCGTTTAACCGACCCCCCTCCCCATCCTCATCCCCCTCGCGACCCCCACCACACTACCACCCCAGTTGGGGATACACCCCTCGAAACCCGACGGGAACGGCCTATCTCCCCATCTGGAGGGGTAAATCGGCCAGTGGGGCCCAGGCCACGCCGCTGGGTATGGGGATCGGTTAAACGATGCTCAGTGCTGGGGCTGCTTGTGCGCTGCTGGTAGGCGTTGATGCGTCTTGATTTGTCTGAGGTCGCCTGGGGGCCGTCTGGGGGGCCTCGCGTGGCGTGCTTTGCCTGTCGGGGCGGCATCTTGGCGCTGCCCTGTGCAGTCAGGCGCCTGTCTACGGAACTTGGAGTTCCCGTGCCGTCTCGTGCCATCGTCAGGCTACCGCGCGCCCGCTTCCGCCAGTATCCCGATCTTGCACAGCGAGCATTGGGCCCTCTTGAGGAGGGGACTAGGGCGAATGACACGCTGCAGGTTCAGGGGCAGTGCGGGCTGGGATCGTGAGAACCTTTTTGTCCCTTCCGCAAGCCCAGGGCATGGGAAGGCGGGGCTGATCATAACACAAACCAATATGACATGGCCACATGATTTGGTTCTGAGAAGATGGCGAGAAACAGTTTTTTGGGAGACGCTGAAACGATGGGCACAGCACGTTTCCGTCTACTAATCTGAAGGGCGCCGCTCCCTGCCGCCGTCCATCCCCCAGATTCCTTTCATGGCCACGCTTGGTTGGCTTTCCTGTCGCTTGGCTGGCTGTCCGACTGATTGGCCTGCTGCCTGACCTGCTCACTGGCCATTGTTTTGGGCTGCCTGCTGGCTTGCTGGTTGCGCGCGCCTGCAATGATTGATCAGAGGTGGTGCCCTCGGGAGCGCGCTTCCAGTGCACTTTTTCCAGGGGCTCGAGGCGTCGGGGGCGCGCGCCTCTAGCCATCTGCGAGGGCTCGTGGCCTCGAGCCCCCCGAGCCGACT